CTTTTTCTGTAAATTCCACAACTTGATTAGAGGGTTTTTGTGATCACAATCCTTCCAATTCTACTTAACAATCTGAATGAACTCTTTATGGCTAGACCAAACATTGAGATATCTAAAGGGAGGTCTACTGTTGTGTTCATTGGCTGAGATGGAAATTAACATAGGTTTATGATCAGACCCTGCCATTATAAGATGAGTGACATTTGTTGGCAAATAATTCTGATTCCAGCTGTCATTAGCCAGAATCTTGTCCAACCTTTCCCAAATTTCTCCCCTTCTCCAAGTGAACTCATGTCCATTAAATCCCAAATCAAACAGCCCAGCAGTATTTATGTTGTCATTGAATTCAATCATATTTTTAACAGATGGATTTCTTCCCCCCTTCTTTTCAGCAGGTGAAGCAATGCAGTTGAAATCTCCTCAAATAATTCAGGCAGTATTAGTCAACCTTTTGATTTGGTGGATCTCCTTCAACAGTTCATGTCTGGCTGATTTGGAGGATCCAGTATAAACAAAAGTGGCATAACCAAATTGGTATGCCATGTTGAAAGAGCAGTGTATGAATTATGAGTGATTTAGCAACACCTTACAGTTCATTTCAATTCTACTCCAAATCCTGATTTTACTGTTCAGATTAGTGGTAAAGGAGGATATATATATATATATATAGATTCAACTTGTCCCTATGGAGAATATAGGATAATGAAGGAGGAGGTGTAGTATCAACTATGATTAATTTAGAATTTTTGCCAGTGGTAGCCAAAAAGTTAGCAGGTCCATCACCTTCTCTGTTAATATGCTGAAATTTCACACTACAACTACCCAATGCATTCTTCAGTTTGTTGATCTATCTTCCTATATGTGATGGGGATTCTACCTCATTCTGTAATATTCTTATGCAAGTGATAGAGTCAGATTCCACAATTAATGGCCTGATTCTACAATGAAATGCAAGAATAATAGCCCAAAAGATTACAATCATCTCAGCCTCCAAAGCATCTAGTTCCCAAGTTGGTGAGGAAAATAAAAGAACACACAGCCCTTGGGAGTTTCTAAACACTCCCCCAAACCCAGTAGATACCTTGGAAAAGTTACCATAAGTGTTAACCTTCATCCATCCAACAGAAGGAGGAGACCACAATATCAAGGAAAACTTGAAATTTGAATTTTTTTTCTTTGAGGTGCCCAATTCTTGAAGAGATTAGGGAACTTGTGATGTTGAGTAATTTTTTATATGTAAAATGAGCAATTAGTGATAAAAAATTTAGGTAGAGGTAAGTTATCCTTAAATTTAGCTTGATTTCTACACATCCATATAAACCAAGCCACCACACAATGCATAACCAGCAAATTAACCTCCTGCCAGTCTCTCTAGCATGTTAAAAATGTATCCCAACACAGGGTGAGGGTGTCAATTTTTAAATGTGCCAGTAGATCAGTTCAAACTTGTTGAGAAAGTTTGCATTTGAAGAAAAGATGATCAAGTGCCTCCTCCTCCTCATGGCAAAGATGATAGCAAGAAGGACCTCTAAGACCTTTCATTTTATGGATATCATCTATTGGAAGCAAGGATTGTCAAAGCCTCAAGTAGAAAAATAACATTGAAGTAGTCAACCACTGACCCTAGATTTCAGTTCCCCACTGAACAGTTAGCCAATGAAAGAATTTTTGATAGATATATGTTGAAATTTTTTGTAAGGGAGCTTTTTTGGTGATGTTCCTATTTCTTTCACCAGGATAGAGAGGGGTTTTCTTTACCAGCTATAGATGATCATTATTCAAAATGGCATGCAGTAGTCTAGAGTTCCATTGCTCATCTGACCAATAATCCTTAACCAGATCTTTAAAATTTGGGTTAGAGATAGAGCACATTACTTTATCTCTATTTTAAGTCCACCTGTCTAATTAGAAGTTGATTTGACCTTCTCCCAACTGCCAAATGAATGTCTCCTCAGCCTGCTGTCTGACTTCCAGAAGCTTCCCCAAATCCTAGAGTCTCTCAGCTTTTTGTTAACCAGATTAGGGTGTACAGATCTACAATACTTTCCGATCATGAAATGAGCCCATAGACTATCGTGGGCTATGAATTTAATCCATAACTTGCATAAATTAATGAAGCTAAGGTGTTGAAAATCTTGAAATCTCAACCCTCCAGCAAAGTGAGGTTTGCATAGTTTTTTCCAAGGAAGCCAGTGAACTTGCTTCTTCTGACCATCCCATAAGAATTTATTAAAAATTCTCCCCAACAATTTTTGAGTGACTTTCTTCATAGTAAATATTTGAAGAGCATATGAAGGAATGACAGTGAAAATGCTCTTGAGAAGTGTGATCCTCCCTCCATTAGAAAGGAATGAATTAGTCTAGCCTTGAAGTTGGGCTTTAATTTAATCAATAACATCATTAAACTGAATTTTCTTTGTTCTTCCCTTAATCAGTTAAACCCCAAGATATTTGATAGGTAAAGAGGACAAGCTAAATCTAGTATAATTGGATATCCAGTTTTTTATCTATGGAGAAATGTTAGAGCTAACAAAAATTTAGCATTTTTGTTTGTTTAACTCCATACCTGAAGTATGATGGAAGTGTTTAAGGCCCTTATACAGAGTTTTTGTAGCAATCTTAGTGGCATTAGAAAAGATTATCACATCATCTGCATAGGATAGATGGCTGATGCACACATTCGATTTGTGCTGATAGCCAAATGAGGAGAGGTTGAGAACATCTGATTTAATAATCTGGATAAGTAGTTTATGGCCAGAATGAAAATTGTGGGGGATAAGGGATCCCCTTGCTTGATCCCCCTAGAAGCTAAGAAGAAGTCATGGCAATTGCCTTTAACAAGTACAAAATGATTATTACATTGAAGCCATCTTTTAATCATCAAAATGAAATCCTCAGGAAAACCCCTTGCAGTAAGAGTTTCCAAGCTTAAAGCCCAATTAATTGTGTCATAAGCCTTCTTGATATCCAATTTGTAGATAGCATGATCTCCCCAACACTTCCTGTCCAAATCTAATAGCAGTTCTTGTGCTAATAAAATGTTCTCCCTTTAACAAAAGCTTCTTGACTATAACTAATAATCTGTTGAAGTTGGGTTGAAGTGTGGAGACCAAAACCTTGTTAATTTCTTTGGATATAACATTGGTCAAGCTAATGGGCCTAAAATCCCCCCAGTCTTTTCTGATTTGATTTTTTGGAATCAAAGTAATGGTCGAGGAAGTAAAATATATTGGTGGATCAATACCTTTGAAAAAATTCTGAAAAACTGAAATGAATTCCTCCTTAATAACAGTCCAGGAGACCTTATAAAAATTGGCAGTGAAGCCATCAAGTCCAGCTATCTTTTACCCATCAATGGAGTCATGAGCAGGTTTAATTTCAAGCTCAAAAGGGATCTGAACAAGTTGCAACCTGTTAACATACTCTTGACAATCAGTAAAAATAGTGGCATCAATATTAGATCTGGTAAAAGGATGGAAGTTAAATAAGTGATGAAAGTAATGGACAACATTTTGAGCAATTTCCTCAGCCCCAGTTAAACTCTTCCCTTCGAAATCTTGATTACAAGAATCATATTACATTTCCTCTTGAACTTAATGCAAGCATGATAGAAGTTTGATTTTCTGACCCCCTCAATGAATTTAGTAATAGCTGCCTTTTGCTTTAAAGATGCTTCAGTATAAGTAATATGTGTAAGGAGTTCTTCATTTGCTCTATGTCAATCCTTTTCAGACTTTAAACCTTTCTGAAACTCCTCTTCAATCCTGAGAACCTTCTCCTAAGCAGCTATTAAATTCTCATTAAAATTCCTAAAAGTATTCCAGTTCCACCTCTTTAGATGATTGGGCACTTTCTTTTGTAGATGCCACAGATTCTCCCAAGGACCTTTATCCTCACTGAAATGCCAAGCTTTTGTAACTTCACTAAGGAATTCAGGATGGAGAGTCCGCATATTCTGAAATCTGAAGGGAGATCCTTCTGACTTGGATGTATTCTGAATGGAGCAAAGTAAGGGTCTATGGTCAAACCCTCCCATGGCAAGGTGGGTAATGATAGTAAATGGAAAATTTTGAAGCCAATTTGAATTCCCCAACATTCTATCAAGTCTTTCCCACAAAGATCCCCTTCTCCATGTGAATTTAGGTCCTTGAAATCCCAGATCAAATAAATGAGCATCCATGAGGAAGTCATTGAATCTATTCATTGTTGATTGTAAAGGAGGTCTATCACCTCTTCTTTCAGTAGGAGAGGTACACAACTAATGTCTCCCCCCACAATACAAAAAGGAGTTGATAGAGTGGCTGATGTTCAAAAGATCAATCCATAGACTATTCTGATGCCTTAAAATGTAGCTGGCATAGATGATAGTAGCAAAACCCACCTGAGCACCAACAGTAAATTAAATATGCATATACTGGGGATTGTTCAACAGAACTGTCAACTGTAATTGAACTTTAGGCAAAAAGGTAAATTTTGTTATTAGAATTAGAAAAATGAGAAAATTTAGGAAATTTCCTAATAATTTTTGTTGAATGGTTAGTAACCATTGGTTCCAAAATAGCAAAACACCAAATTTAATGAGATCTCACTATATTCATTAGTCTTTTGAGAGAAGTGGGCTGAGTGGCACCCCTAATGTTCCAACACAAGAAATTAATCATTATGAAAGGGTTTTCCCTTTCCCTCTGGTTCTGGGGTATAAATCTATATGCTGGTTGATAGGAGGGCCATCCAAAGAGTGAACTTCCTGCACCTGCTTTTGTTCCATCTTCCCTTTCTTCTTCTTACTGCTTCTTTGGACTTACCATTCTTCAATTAAACCATCAGTTATTAAATTGATTGTGGGATTATTAACTTTTTGAGGATTGATATCTAACTGACCCTTCTCAGCATACTCAGTCCCCCCCATGATTGTCCCCCTCCACATGATTATCAGTGACATTATTTATAGAATTGTTCCCTTGATCAGATCCCTCCTCCAAGATCCTTGGAAGGACCTCTCATTCATTGCCTCTAGTAATAATATTACTTGCATCTTCTGTAGATCTTCTTTTCTTTTTATCCAAAGAGGGTTCAACCCCTCCTTGAGTGACCTTTAGAGGGGCAGCAACCTTTTTGGAAGGTGGATGAAGCCTATAACATTTTTCCAAGTTATGCCCAAACATTCTGCAATGAGGGCAGAATAGTTGTCTTTTTTCCATCACAGTATTTTGCCAAAATCTTTCCTCCTGAGTTCCAATCCAAACTCTCTTCACATCTAGTAATGTTATGTCTCTTTCCACTAGTACTCTAGCCCTAGTTGGCCTTGTTAAATTATAAGTTGGAGCATCCACTTTCAGAGGATAGTCAAGTGTCTTACCATTGTTGAACAAAACATTTTGGTGATAATATTGTATTGGGAGATTAGGAAGTTTAAACCATATTCGGACAATGGGAGGATCTTTACTTGGGTCAAAACTAGGTGTCCATTTTAACAGTTTCATTAGGGTTCCAGCTACCAAAAGTGTTTGCTTTGCAAAAACTCTGGCATAATCCTCCTCATTGGAAAATTTGATTAGAAGATGTCTTCCATCCATCAACCCAAGTTTCCATGCACCGGTGAGCTGAAGGTCATAAAAAAATGTTCTAACAAAATCAATCTTTAGGTGACCAAACTGAAATTTACCTATTAAAGTAAATTTAATGGACTCATTTAATGATTGAATCTTCCTTAGAGTAAACAAAATAGCAGGTTCACCTTCCTTGACACCAATAGGAGACACATAAGGGCAAGTCCCCTTGCCCACAACAATATCATGCAAAGCTTGAGGGAAAATTAAATGTTCAAAATTCTTTGGTAAATCCTGTCCTTGTCCCACAACCCCTGCATAGGTAGCTTTGGTCCATTGAGCATTAACATCCACACTAAGAGGGCTAAACTCCATTTAGTCTGCCCCAAAACCAAAAACCAGAATCTAAAAGGGGAGCAAAATCTCAACAAAAAAGAGTCAGCTCACCACTCTCAAAACCAATGGAACAGTAACTTCTTGGATTGAAACCAGCAAACCCAGAACAAAACCAAAGAGACAAATCCACTTACCTTCCTTCTTCAACGAGCAAGTAAGGAGACCAAAGTCACTCAGCACACTCAGCTACCACCTCGAACATCACCTCTAGGAAGACGCCATTAGAAACCAAACCCTAACAAATATATATATATATATATATAT